ACCTATTTACTATTATATCATAACTAACACTCTAAAGATATTCTGTAATCATTTGATAAATATCTTCATCACCTAACAAACTTTTTACTTTTTAATGTTTTTCACGCATTGATATTAGAATCTGATGATGAATAATAAAATTTTGATTCCATGATCTAATTAATTGTGCTTAATTATCTCTCTTTTCAATGCTAATTACAAGGGTTTTACTTACAACTATATATTTAAGACTACTTAACTGCAAATTAATATATTACATTATAAGCTGTAATCATGTTTTGACTTATAAGATTAAAGATTTGTCAGCAATTAGTTTCTTTAAATCCTTCAATGCTAACTTAAAACCTTCTTGTTTTTGATTTCTTTTAAGTTGCTTTAGTTATTTGCAAATTCCTTTGTAGATTGATGCGGTATTTATTGAGATATGAAAAAAAGTATCAAGTTTGAAGATATCAGCTATTGCAGTTTTAGTAGCTAATTTTTTACATTTTTATATTCTTTTCGAACTTTTAATATAAACTAATAAACATTTATTTGTAAATAATATTGGCACTTTTACATTTTCAATCATAACATTAAAAGCAGTCTGTGAAATTTGTTTTAGATTTTCAAATTCATCATTATTCCAATCATCATCTGAATCATGACAATCTGACAATTCATTCTCATCACAATTTACAATTAATAAAGTTGCATTTTTTTTTAAAGTTTTACTGTTTTGTGTAACCACAAGTTAAACTTTTGTATTTTTAGTGACATTTTTATAAAGTAAAAAAAATCTGCAAATGTAGATTGTGCTAAAAAAAAAATTTTCATATGTTAAAGATAAGATGTACTAAAAAAAATTTTATATGCTAAAGATATAATCATTCTGATTCATTTTAAAATTTTTAATTCTGCTCAGTTTATAAATTTTAACCTGTATTATATTAGTATCAAATTGGCCAAAATTTGCCAAATTTATTCAAAACATAGTAAAATAACTGATATTAAAATTTATATATTTTATGCTATAGTAATTCAATTTGAATAAACTCTCTGTTACATTAAAGAGTATTGTTCAAATTATAATTTTACAGAAAGATTTTTGAATAATATTAAATTCAAATTTTTTTTCTATTTATTTGAAATTACATGATAAAAAGTGGTGGATTTAGACTGCATGTATCATACATTTAAAAAATAACTTGAATTGATTTTTTTAACTAATTTTTGATAATATTCAAATGATATTTCTACCAACTTTAATATTATATCATGACTTCAAAAAAGTATATTATCGATAATTTTATGATTAAGTTATGTGATCATTTGACACCACATCATCACATACTATTTACTAAATAGTTGTGATTTGTTGAAGTTCATTTAATCGCATAGTAACAAATCACAGGTTTCTGCAAAAATTATAATATCTAAAGATAACTAATACAATGATGTCATATAAAATAGTTATTTAATAAATTACATATTGCAAAAGAAAATTGTAATTTTTTACATTAAATTTTATTTTTGAAAACTTTCATTATGTATTGTAATTATAAGAAAAAAATGCAATTTACCATATTTCTTTGAAAATAAGCAACCTTCAAAAATAAGCAATCTTGAAATTGCATTGTATCTAAAAATAAGCAACCCACTGAAAATTGTAAATGTAATGTGTAAAATCAAATTACAATAATAAATAAATGCTATTTTAAACCCTATTTTAAAATTTTATTTATTAATGAATTATATATAGTTATATCTGGATTTACAAAAAATATACAATGAGAAAAAAAACACGATTTATCACATAATTTACATCACTGCCACAACTGACATTATTACTAATTATTATCAGTATCGATATCTTTATCACTGACATCATTCTTATCTTCTTTATCAGTAATTTTTAAATTAGAATTTAAATAGGTCAAAATTCCACAAGTCTTAAAAGATTCAATGACAATTTCATCATCAATTGCTTCTTAAGAACGCATAATCTATGAACATATATTACTTAATTTAGTATGGCAAAGATTTCCTACGGCAGTTGTACCAGCGCTATTACCTGCCATTCAGATATACCATTCTTTACGAAGGTTGTCTTTTAATAGCTTATTAATTGATATATCGAGTGGTTGGTAAATGCTAGTAAGGCCATCTGGAATCACTGCCAGATCAATTTCACTCTCATGTAACTTACTTTTTACTGATTCTCCTAAATGACCCTTGAATGAATCATAAACTAACATTGTTAGATCCCATTGAGTACCATTTTTTGATCTTATATCATTTAGATAATCCACATATTTTAACATTAGATTCGAATCCATTCAGCTATTCTTTTAGAACCAAACTACAATTTCAGTAGAAACTTGCTCTTTGTGTGGCATTCATTTTCCTTTGAAGATACAGATCAGAGATAATTTAGTACTATCTAAATCATTAAAAATTTCCCTTATTAATCCTAATATTATAATTTCAATATCGTTATAAAAAAAATTGCATACCAAACTAACTTAAAAAGATAACTTACCTGCAGCATACGTCAAAATGATAGTAAACCTGTTCTTTTCATTACCAGTTACATGAATGTGTACAGTTTTTTTGCCTTTTAGATTTATAGTAAAATTACTAGCTATGTCGAACCATACAGGTGTTTCATCTATGTTTAAAATATTTTTTAATTTATATGACTTTTCTAACCTAAGACAATTGATAAATTGATGAAACTTATCCAATAAGTTTGTATTTCACTTTGGAAATTTTTAGGATATTCTTGTGCGTCGTCGTAGTGACAGCTTATATCTTCTTATAAATGCAATTAACCAGTGATGAGAAGTCTTGAAATTTTCTGTTAAATTATTACCATAGAGTCCTATCATATCTGGTTCTTTTAAAATTTCTAGCATCTTATTATGTAAAATTATGTATGATATGGCCAACTCCTGTTTTTTTTGTTCAATAATTCAGTTATATAACCTGCTTTCAGCTTCAGGAAACAAAGGTTTTCGTTCAGAACTAAGGCGCTTTTTCTTTTTATTTGTTTTATCTAACCAACTTGAGCTTGCTTTGACCCAACGTTCAACCATACTAATATCAATATTAAAATGCTCTGCAGCTCTAATATTACCCTTTCCTTTGCGTATGTAATAACATTTGTCTTCTGTTCTATAGAATAAGAATTTCATTTACATTTAATAACTCGTTTAACCTTAGTTTTAACTTATTTTCTTTTAGGCATTTTGTGATAGCGCAGCATAATAAATAGGTTTAAAACTAATTCACATATTATGTAGCGTTTACGTTGAGCTTTTATACATCAGATGATGATTTGTGATCATGGAATTTGCATTGATCAAAGTTCAAAAAGTTTGATTTACCTCTTTTACCTCTTCATATTTTTAACTACCCAAAAATAAGTAATGCTATAGTAAAAATAGGTTGCTTATTTTTAGAGGAATATGGTATATATAATTTATCCTTTAAAAATAAGTTAAAAATAAATGAATATTTAAATAGATTTTTGAATAATGATTTAATTAAGACCTTAAAATTAATTGAAACTAAAAAATAATATGCTTTTAAATGATATATATATTTTACTAATTATGTAATAAAACTAAAAGTATTAATATGTTAAGAAATTATCACTAAAAGTATTAATAGAATTGTAAATAATAGGATTCAAATATTATAATAATTAATATCAGATTAATCATTATCATTATAACAAAATGTTTCTAAAAATAATTTACAAGTAATAATCAAATCTTTACAAAAATTTATATTTCAGGCAATTTAACTTTAGATAATAAAAAATTAATTGGAAAAATGAATGAAAGATAATATTATAGATATTTTAAATGATAAACTAAAAAAAATACAAATAAATCCCTTATAGATTAAAGATAATTTCCATAATTATTTTCAAATTTCAATTGAATTGCAACTTAATTATGCTATAAAAAAATTTAAATTGTGTCACAAATTGCAATTCAATTGCACTATTTTTTTTAATTGCAATGACCATCTTTATTACAGATATAATTATGATCCTGTAAATGATCTTACAAATAATATGACAAGATTTTTATTAAATAAAATTATAAATATTGCTATTAAACTTGTTATTAAACAATTATCTTCAGGTTACAAATACTTCAAATGTGATAGAACTGACTACAATTCCTATAATTATCCTTAGAAAAAGAAAATAAGAGCAAAAGCAAATAAAAAAGGTAGAATTAACTTTGCTACTTTAAATTTAGATTTAGATTCTAATTCTAATATCATTTAATGATAGTTTGATTCTAATACAAGTTCTAAGGACTTTTCTGATTTTACAAGTGATATTATTATTAATATTGCTAAGGCAAAAGAAAATGAAGTAGAAGTCTAGCTCCAAAAATCATTTTCTAAAAAACAGTTTAAGAAAAATCTAAGTCTAATAAACAAATTGATAAAATGCATGTTAAGAAGCTTATAATTAATTCTGATAAAGCTAAATAAAACAAATAAGGTACTCTAATGCAGATTATTTAAAGTGAATTTAAATTAATTTTCCTGTACTTTTCCTAACTTTAGTTCACATTCCAGTTCTAACAAAGCTAATGTGACCAAACAAGTGTCTTCTATTCAGAAAAAGATAGAGTCTCAGATTGATGAATCTTCAGTTACTAATTTAATATTATATCGCGATTATATAGTTTTACTATATATAAATTCCCTATTTATAATCATGTAATTTTAAAAACCAAAAGAGTGGTTTAAAGATAAGTTGCCGGGCAACTTGAAACCCGTCGAAACCATGAAATCAAAAGGTTTCGACTTTTATCAAAATGGATTAGGGGTTTTGCCCGCAACCTTAATTATAGATAGGTCTAACTGTAGTAAATTTGCACGATTTTTATTATGAAAATTTTACTTTAAAAAATATCATTTTGTCAATTAAATTCAACCCTATTGTTAAAAACAAAACAAAAACCAATTCATATATGTTGAAACAACAAAGCTTATTTAAAAGCAGTTTCTTTGGCAAGTCTTCTAGCAAATTCAATTATAGAACGAGTTGGGCGCCCTATGAATAGAAATAAATTCAATAAATAAATATTATATATTATACGGTAAAAGTAATTTAACATACCAGTTGCGCCTTTAACATTATAATGAGAATCTGCACTAGTACTCATAACACATGCCATATCAATATGGGCATATCGAATCTTATTAATTTCGTCAGCATCCTTATCAATTATATTGTCTTCAACCATATCATTATCCTTCTCTTCCTCGGTATCAGTAATATTCTTACCCACAGTTCCTTCATCACTTAATCCATAAACGAACTCCTTAAGGAAAATAGCAGCAGTACAAGCACCTCCATATCTATCACCAGAATTAATATAATCTGCTACATCAGATTTAGTCATGGCCTTTTTATAAAAATCATCAAGTGGCATACGCCAAAAAGGATCGTTTGCGATGTTTCCTGCATCTACAAGTTGTTTCCACAAGATATTAGAATTAGTAAAAACTCCAGAATAATGATCATTACCAAGAGCTACTCCTATCGCCCCGGTTAAGGTGGCCAAGTCAATGAGACTATGAGGTTGAAATGTCGAACTTATATAATACAATGCATCAGCCAATATCAATCGTCCTTCAGCATCTGTGTTATCAACCTAATCAAGTTTTGAAAGAAATTTTTAATCCTTAAGATTAACTATAATGATAAAAGAATAAGTGAATAAAAGAGTGATACCTCTATAGATTTCCCATTCATGGCAATGACGACATCCCCCGGTTTTGTTGCATGACCAGAAGGTAAATTCTCGCATAAAGGAATGGCGGCAACCACATTAATCGGCAATTCAAGTTTTGCTATGCCATATAATGCAGCTGATACTGCTGCACCACCACCCATATCTATCTTCATTTCGGACATGCCTGTGGAGGGTTTCAATGAAATACCACCTCTAAAAATTTTGTATGAACGACTTTAATTTCTGTTGATAAATCAAGACCTTGCTTTGAAAATATTAAAAACATACGAATCAAATGTAACGCCTAGAGAAAAGAAAAATCATTAGTTTTACAATTTTACGATTTTATATGGAAAGTGGGAAGAAAATAATAAAAATTAAAATGCTACCTTTTCCTATCAAAGCCAAAGGTTTATCATCTTCTTTTCCACCTTTATAATGGATTTCCAAAAACCTTAAAGGTTCATCCGAACCCTTAGCAACTGATAAGAAAGATCCCATTTTTTTTTCTTCGGCCCATTCTCTATCTCTAACAATAATTTCAACTTTTGGCAGTCCTTGTAATATGGATTTTACATTTTCGGCGAAAATAGTAGGAGTCATATAATTTGATGGTGAATTTCCTAATGTACGAGCAAAATTTTGAGCATTCGCATAAATCAAACCAGTCTCCCAGGAAAGTTCTGATGATGAATTTTCTAATGATGATAATCCAAATGGTGAAATGGTAACAGATGATTTTTTATTTTTAGCGGATTTCAACTGATCTGGTTTAAAGAGACCAAGAGTAACACCTTCGGATGCTCCTAATTAAATAGTAGTATATATTTAATACATATAATTAAAAATGAAATAGTTAAGTAAGATTAAATACCATGTTCACTTGTCATAACATCAACTGCGATATTTTTAGCTCCTTGATCACGCAATGTACAAACACCTGCTGCTGCCTAGAAAAGTGATAAACATTATCATCGCAACCAATGCTAATAATTATTGAAATTAAATGAGACTATACCGCAACACGGGCTTTATCTAAAGAATCTCTCAATTCTTCAGGGGAATCCTTTTTAGTTCCTAAACCAACAACTGCCATTTTCGATGGCAACCCTTCTTCACTACCAACTCCATATAAAACCCTTACTTCACCTAATTTTCCTTTAGCTCCAGCATATTGAAGCTGTTGTTTAATATTAGTTTGAACTTTTTCAGAAATTTCTTTCGATGCTACCTCAGATAAGGACCCATCCTTATAAGCACCCAAAACTATTGCATCAAAACCCGAATACTTGTTATTAGTCACTGAAGAAAATCGATGACAATTTATCCGATTAGAAAAAATTTTTATGCTTAAACAATTGAATGCATTTTTTCGATAAAGATTTGCTAGAATCATTTATAAGATTTGTTTTATAAAAATTATAATTAGAGTTTCATTTCAATTTGGGATGATTATCGTACTAACATACCTGTGCGACAGAAAACTTCTTCAATTGGTTAGGAAAAAGTGATTTTCGTAGACGAAGTCAGTGGTTTGGCCGATCATACCTTCGTTATTAATATCAGGACCTCAAACAATATATACAGTTACTATCAAAAGAAATGCATCACCTCATTTTTTAGCTTTAAAAACTTATACAGTGAACTCTCTATAAATGAACCCTCTATAAATGCACACCTCTATAAATGCATTTTATTGCTTAGTCTTAAACTCGGGACTTAATGCTAAATGCACACAATTTTTAAATCTTTAAATATCATAGAACTTGATAAATAAATGCGCAGTAACATTAGAACATTTACGTCACACACGTCACGGGAATATGTAAATTACGCAAAATAATTTATTCTCAAACTTTCTCGCATGTTCTCAAAATTCTTATGTATATTATTATTAAAAAGGCTGTTAAATTAAAGGAGAAGCTGTTGATCAGATTTTTGTGATGCGTTTATATTAACGTAATTTTCCCCAAAAGCGTATTCCAAAATCAATCCTGGAAATTATATAAAAAGGTGATGTCCCTGTTAGTGAATCCTTTTATCCGCCTTGTGCAAGTAAAACAAAAAAATCAAAGCATTCAAGCTTACCATTATTAAAATCATTGATATTAACAATCAAACGAACTCGTATTTTCCGCAAAGTAATACCGTATTCTTCCGAAAATAAGCAACATATTTTTGTTATAGTGTTGCTTATTTTCGGGTAGTTTATGAATCTTCGA